AACCGACCTGCTCCGAAGGCTGATGTCATCTCTCAGTGTGCTCTCATTGGCTGACAGCAACATTTGCAAGGTCCTCCTGACCTCCCTCCAGGCCTCATACCCGAGAGCCATGAAAGCATTCAGAGTGGGCTTTCAGGGACACACAGGAAAAAATGAAAATATGAAACATCGAGCAGCCTGTCCTAACAATCAGCTGACACATTTCCAGAATGGAAAATGGCAAATTATCATTGTGGAAGTGCAGAGGTTATTATTGTTTTGAGAAACATGAGAAAATGTGCACACGACTGACAGTAAAAATAATAGACCCTACACAACACCTTTGACCCTGTCCATGTTCACCATGAATGTATTAAACACTGAATGAGGTGACCAAACATGGCAGCCCCATTCATTTAAGATAATTCAAGATAATCTTTGCAGCTTTTAAATGTATCTGAGCTGTTGGTTGTGATCATTTAAAGAGTTGGTTGTGAAGAAAGTGTGATGCTCTGGTGTTTTTTCACTGTTCTACTGCTGCTTCTTTACCAAATGTGTTTGGAAAGTCTATCTGCACTCGAGGGCATCATGTGACCTGCACTTCCAAATTTGACTAAAAAATAATAACAGAGACACCCTCTAAGAATCAATGCTGCTCCAGGAGGCTTTATTTTTACCTGTGCACTTTTGAGGTACCTGTACTTTACTTGGGTACATTGAGTTCATGCTACTGTATACCTTTTCTCCACCACATTTCTGTACTGGTTACTTTGCAAATTAATATCTTGCATATAAAAAAATGACCAGAATCACCAACTATGATTCAATGTTATATAAATTACCCAAATGTATGAAGTAGTTTTACATAGCTCCTGCTTGATCAGATACAACATAAAAATGATGCTAACACATTCATGCATTAGTGATAATAATCCAATTTAATAATCTATAAAAAATACAGGCAGGGTTGGTTCTGTATTATGAGTGCCATCTGTCAAGCCTGTTTGGCTGTTTGTTGTTGCATTGTTCTGTGTTTGCTGTCAAGATGTGTCTGCCCAACTGGTGTATGATCAAACCTCGAGCCTGGCGTCTATACCACACTACCTGTGTTGCTCACCTTCTGTCACTTTAGGGAGGAAGCGGTCCAGAACATGGGGGAAGCTGGGAGGTGTTTTGGTGGTCTCGTTTAGATTATTGCAATTATTTCTTTGTTGGACTTGGTTAGTCGTCACGTCGTCACCTGCAGCCTGTTCAAAATGCAGCAGCCCGCTGCGTAATCACATCGCATCTGTACTAGCCTCCCTACACTGGCTTCCAGTCTATTTCAGGATCCAGTTTAAAATTTTATTATAACTCGTTTTTAAGAGTCTCAATGGCATGGCGTCACCTTAGATCTCTGAGCTCTTACAGCCTCACACTCCAGTCAGAGCACTGAGGTCAACAAACCAATTGCTCTCGGAAATTCCTAGATTGAGGCGCACAAACGGAGGCGATAGAGCGTTTTCAGTGGCGGCCCCTGATCTGTGGAGCTGCCCAGACCCTTCATTCATTTCATTTTAAAACGCTGCTGAAGACCCATTTCCTCTCGCTGGCTTTCAGACCTGTTTGAGCAAGATACCTTGTTTTTTATTGTGCAAGCACAATTTATTTTACTCTTGTTTTATTTCTTGATGTTTTATTGTTTATTTTAGCTCATATTTATTGCTGATTTATATTAATAGGGATTGTAGATTATATTTATTTGTATAGGTTGTACAGCACTTTGGTCAACTGAGGTTGTTTTTAAATGCGTTATAGAAATAAACTTGACTTGACTTGAACTTCTACTTCTACTTCAGTAAAATTATGAATGCAAGACTTTTGCTCTGCGGTGTTGCTGCTTTTACTGAAGAACAGGCCCTGAGTGTTTGTTCTACCAGTGCCAGTGGCTGCATCACCAGACTTTGAATCTAATTAGTATGACAGCTGTTTAGTATGCTCCTGTTGCTTAACTTCACTTAACACCTCATCCAGGAGCCTCTGAACCTCAGTCACAAATAAAGTTAATATGACAGGAACATTACGGCCCCAGGACTTAATTTGAAAGGTTCCATTATCATACATAATATGATAATGGGCCCTTTCAAAAGTACTGTAATATGATAATACTGAAAGTTCATTGTGATGTTACATAATACTTCTGATTCATGTCGGACTAAAAAGGTAAAGTGAGTTACGGTGCCTCTTCTCTGATTACTCTTAAGCTTACCTGGTCAAAGACATCCTGATGTTTGGACATCACCGGTCCTTGAAACAAAGACCTTATCACACTGAGGTCCAGTATCTGGTCTCCAATGGCAACACCAATACGATGCCTGGGCTGGGGAAGTAAAACACATTTGCATTACTAAATGATTTCTCCTCCCCTGCATCTATCAAGTGGTTATAAATTTGTTCTTTATAGTTTTCAGTGTTTCCTCCAGAAAAGGATAGTTTAACCTGGATCATTTTTTAACAATATTAAATACTTGTCGTTTTGAAAGACTATTTTTGTATTTTGTATTCTCCCTTTAATCATCTTCATTTTGTTGCATTCTATAAACACTGATTGGGTGTGAGGTTTGTACTGGCTTTAGTATTTCAGGATTTCGTGATGAAAGTGAAAAGGCCCTGGGTCCACAGTCCAGTCATTGCTACCATACTCACTTCAACACACTTTGCAAATATCCCTCAGATATCAGATATATCTGAAACTTTAGCAAACTGTGAAAAGTCCCCAAGAGAGATCAACTTTTTCCTCATTGGCCCAAAATTATTTAAAGGTTTTATTTTGAAAATCCTGACCAGAAGTCCTCAATGTGTCTCTCTTGACAACAGTCCACTGCAAATGTCAATGAAAACAGAAGAAGAGCAAAGTGCACTTACATTGTCAGGTGTGGAGAATATTCCATAAGGGAGGTTGTGGTAGGAGAAGTCAGAAGTTGCATCTACTTTTATAAAAGACATCTTCTCTTTTCCAGTGGTATTCCACTCAACCTTACTGAGTTACTGAGTGACTGAACAGCAGCTGTAAGCGCTTCCAGATGTTAAACTTTGGACAGGCCCGCCTCCCACCGCATGGCCAATCACATGTTGCCTATAGTATCCACCCTAAACCAGACTTCTGGTAGTTAATGCAAACCAGCCTGGCAAATGACTAAGCAAAATTGTAGTCTAGGCACTGATCGGCCTCCTCAGTTGTTAGTAAAAGTTGATAGAAAAGGACAGATTCTAAAATTCCAATTGTAGCAGCAGTTCAAGAGAAATTAAGTTAAAAATAGGGGTGAGTATAATATGGTACAAAAGGTGTGAGAGAAAAATTTATATTTTAAAACAATTTAAAGGAAATAAGGAGCTCTACATGTTTAGTTTAGGACATAAAATAATGGTTAGATACAAGTAAGGCCACAGGGAGATATTAAAACTTCCAAAGATTGAATCCAATGTCTAGTACAAGGCCAAACATTTACAAAATCCTGGACTGAAAATAAATAAAGTGCATGTTTCTAATGTAGCTTAATCAACCTAAACCATAATACTGCTACTCAGTTTTAAAGGTACAACAACTGCATGTGTAAGGAGTGACACAAAACATTGTTAGGAAATGATAAAACAAAATATTTTTCTGTTTTTAGTCATCAGTGACTTTCCAAAGATACTAAATGTAATACATGTATCTTTTTCTATATCACGATGAGTTTTTAGTTTGGTGTCCAAATAACTTGGAATGATTTCAGTATGGTTCAACTGTGTTATTATTTTATTATGTTTTTATTATTTTACTTTATTCTTGGAAATAAAGTAATGGCAAGCACACAAAGTGCCCAGCTTTCACACACGAGACCATGATTTGCATCTAAACTCTAGGCTATGGCGAGGTTTCGGCAACATCACTTTGATTATGGTTAGGGAAAAAGGTTTAATAAACCAGACCATGATCTTCCCCTAACTCTAACCATAAAAATCTTTAATAAAACATAACATAAAAACACATTGATCCATCCTGGATGCGACAAATATTTTTCTGTTCTAGATGAGTCACATTACAGACATATAAAGATTCAAACACTTTTACAGTAGCATGTTGGAGAATCATAAAATCAAAAAAATTGGGTTTTAAAATGGTTTCTGTCATAAAATTTGAAAATTTGAGGTCGTGTAAAAACACATTGGTCCATAATTCTCGATAGGGACTGATATATTTCTGTTTTATAGTAGACAGAGTACTGGAAGACAAGGAATCAAGCAAGTGTACTGTTTTATTCTTAAGAATTCTTTTAATTAAAAGTTCCAAATTTGTGCTTGAAAAAAAGTTTCTGTTCTGAAATTTGAGGTTACATAAAAACATCCTTCATTCCTAATGGGGACTGATGCATTTTAATGACTACTCTGACCATTATTGGGAAAACTGGATACATAAAAAAGTACAGGATATTCAGGGATCTGTACTTTACTGACACTTTCAACTGAGAGAAACAATTGTTTTGTGATTATTTTGTTACATATTAAGCCATAGTCGTATGCAGTCAAAGCCTTGTGGGAATTGTAGCCTAGTTACTGAATGCTAACAAAAAAGGCTAGTTATAGTTTTTTTTTTTTTCATTGTTAACATCAACTTTTATCATCCAGTAGATTATGGAGCCCTGAAAATTCCACCTTTCCAGAAAGACTCTGAGAAAATCCCCCGTGCAACAGTAAGCAGCAGTAGCAGCAACAGATGTATTTTGAAATATGATTAGTTCATAAACACACAAAATGCTGTGGAGTGGTTATACAGTGCTTATAATCATATGATTAAAGCAATTATAGCCCACCCGAGGTGAGCAAAGACCCGCCACTCCCCTGCCTCTGACTGGCTAGTACTCGGTTAGGTTTAGGCATGAAGAGTGATGATTGGTTAGGATGTTAAGAATATAAGTGTAAGCTATGAGCATGCGCGAGCACACACGCCAGCTCAAACGATTTACGGCACGTATAGACAGCCGCAGTCAGCTGTTGTCGTCAATTGGTGAAGCTAGGTGGCATCCACTAAACATGAATGCCATGTGTTGTTATGATTGTTAATGTTTAACTCGAAAGTTGCACGAAGCAAAACGCTATGTCGAAATCGGTTCTTCCACAGTACTAACAGTCCGCACGTATACTGAATACTCTTCACATAGCTGTTTCTTAAATCTGTCTTTTAGCTAGCTCGGCAGTAAGTTAGCAAAGCCAGAATGGCTGCACTGCGAGCAGCAAAGCAAACTTTGCGGAAAGAAATAAAGCGACGTGTTGCAGCGCTGAGTAACGAGGAGAAACAACGACAATCTCTTGTCGTTTCACAGAAGGTAAGGGAAGGTAACACCGACTGGAAGATTTCCAAATTAATTCGTAGTATGGAGTAAGCAATTAGCTTTGCAAGCTATGACCAGTTAATACTATAAAAGCACCGTTCTCTTCCTACTGGCACTTTTCCTCACGGGTGAAAAGTCAACACACCTTCCATTAAAATGTTTTCCAATTCCCTTCCTTGGATATTGTTAAAATGTGTGAATGTGACCCAATACTTTTAAGAATTCACAGATTCCGTTTTTAAATTGTGTAACATGAACTCTTATTTAGAGAAAATGTTGCTTTCCTTCCAATAAAACACATGACATCAGGAAGGGAATAATTTGTGTCAGCCAGAGTTGAAAATGGACAGTTGATAATAAAATAAAGTGATTCTGGTGTCTGTAAACCATGCCGAATTGATAAGTTAATCCAGCTACCCTTACAGAAGTCTCAAGTCAGGTCGAAGTTGTTATTCTGCCGCTGACCATCAAATTAAATGTTACGTTTTCATATTTCTGAACGTAGTCTGACATGGTAACTGTAGACTTAAAACACGTTCAGTATTGGTTCAGCAGATTTGGTGTGGACTATCTTGTGTTCACTACATGAGACAACAACATGTCTGGACATAGCAGGTGTAACTAATAAACATTAATACGGACTCACTTTCATTCACAGTAAGTGTGTCAGTGCCAGTGAGCCACCACCATAGCAGTGTCCTTGCAATGAAACTCCTGTATGTATTTGATTACATAATTAATTTCACCTGTGTTTGAGAGGTCAAAAATATCTGCTTTGAGATTCATAATATTAAGAATTAGAGGAACTCCGTCTGTGCAGATGACTGAGTGGGCATCAATTCTCCATAGGCATTAAAGAATGGCTCCAGTTAATTACAACTTGGGTCTTATTTGTGTCATTTGGTCATCTATCAATAATAATGACATTTCACTCAAGTTAATTGCTGAGATCTGGAAATGCAGCAACATCAGAAGTCAGAGGTGTCAAGAATAATGTGTAACATGTGATCAGACAGGTTGGAAACAAACCTCTAGGTCTGGAAGAGAAGATGAATGTGACCAGCAATATTATAGACTGATAGACTGAATCTTAATTTGTGAATCAATCATGGAAGATTAGAATCTTGATTTTAATGTGAACATTATTATTTGTTTTGACCTCTGCTCGTGGGCTCTGATAACCACACTGATTCTAACTTTCTCTCTCTCTGTGTTTTTCTTTCAGCTGTTCAGACACCCCAAGTATGTGTCCTGTAATCGGATTGCAGTGTTCCTCAGCATGGATGATGAAGTACTGACTAATGAAATCATCAAAGATGTGTTTAAATGGGGTAAAAGCTGCTTCATCCCCAGATACAACAGCAGCAACAGGCATATGGACATGCTGCAGCTCAACAGTCTGCAGGACATGGAGATGCTGCCTATGACATCCTGGAACATCCAGCAGCCTACTGAGGATGACCACAGCCGAGAGGAGGCCCTGGCTGCAGGTAATGTACACAGGCACAGACGCACACGCGCACACACACACACACACACACACATAACATCATCTACAGTCTAAAAAGTAATCTGTCTATTGCTGTTTAACAGATCACATACTTATTCATAGCTGTTAATGCATTGCTTTGGTACTTGTAATGCAATTTTCAGTACTAACAAACTAATATTGGGATTAGCCAATCAATATCGGAGCTTTTACAAGCCCTGTAAAAATGAGCATTACAAAACAAATGGCCACCCTCCAACAGTGATGATTCACTCCTGAGGAAGAAAGAGCAGGGCTTCATGTGCTGATCCTTTTGCTGTAAGATCACTTCAAGATCTACTTTAGGAAGTCAGAAATAAAAATGTTGGAAGCTCATATCAAGAGAAACTTTAAAAAGTACCTGAACAGACGCAGGCAGTCTGATACCCTGCAGGGCGCCCTGGAAAAACATATTCAGTACAAGTGGGAGTCACTGAAGTTCATTCATTAATACAGAGTCGACCTAATTTGAAGCCTTTTGAGTGATGGTCTAATTATGATGGATGATTATGATGAATCGTGATTATGAGGATATGATGTGCTCAGCGTGAGCTTGTAAACATAACAGACTAAACATGAGGTCTTGTTTAACTTAAAAAATTTTTTTTGTTTGTTTGTTTTTTAGTATTGTAATTGACAGTATTGGCATGTTCAGTTAAAAACATAGTTGTTTGGCCCTAAACTGTGGAATAGTTTGCCACTAACTATTAGATCTTCCCCTCCATTGACATAATTTTGCCTTTATTTGATAGGGACAGTGAAGACAGACAGGAAATGTGTTTTCTTTAGCCTCTCGTCATCATGAAGACATGTCTGACCACACTCTTCTGTTTTGTATTTGTTTGTATTTTATTTGTTGTTTATGTGGGGTTGTTTCCTCTTATGATTTTATCAAGCTATTCTCTGTTTTAATCAATTACCTTATATCCTCTTATATCCTGTTTGTATTTGAGCATTCCTGTATTTTAGCTTTATTGCAGTCATCAAATAATCCAATAATTTAATCTCACTGTTAGGTTTGTTGTTTTAAAATGTGCTCTATAAATACATTGGCTTGACTTCACTAGTTGTGGAGCCAGAATGAAATGACACAGAATCACCAGCAGATAGAGCTGTTGTTCTTCTAAAGATCCAAGAAATAACTCTGCGCAAGGTCCCTCATCCAGTCAGTTCATCTGACCTCTGCATTTACCAAAGCACCAGCGTTCATGTATGAGCTTCCCCTGGAGGATCAGGTTTGATCATGGTATCACAAATCTAATGAGTGACTACAGTTGAGTTTAAGACACCATTTCTTATTATCAGCCTACTAATACCACCAGGTCCCTGAATCTCTGACCTTTGACTTCATATGTTTAGATTTCCTCTTTGGCTGAATCCAAATATTTCCCACAGAAATGCAGCAAATTCTCACATTTGAAAGGCTAGAAAAAGAGAATGGTTGGAATATTTTACTTATAACAGCAATGATGGAAACGATTGGTTATCAAAATAGTTGGCAATTATTTTTCAATTACCTAATCAAGTAATCATTGCAGCTCTAATGTCAACCGCTATTAAAGCAGCTAACATTAAGCAAATCCCTTCGTTATCTCAGTATAAATCTACTATAATGCTCTTGAAAAATCAGCTGATCCCTAATGGATGCTCAATTTCGATCTTAGAATAATCTGCTGTCCTATAGTGTCCCATCATGCATTTGGACATTATCGAAGTTATGTATGCAAGAACATGATGCCAACATTAATAAATGTCTTAAATCTTATAATAATATTTATCGATTAGCCATTCACATTAGGCTGTAAGAAAACACTGGAAACAAATGCATATACCTAAGTTTAAGGGCTAAATAGCTTGACTCAGCTGTGTGATACTATCCAGTCACATCTTTTTACAAAGCCTATACCAGCGCCTTATCATGCATTTATTGTGAAAAATCACACATGCACCAGTGACCGAGGCTGTAGGCACATCTTCACTGAAAACCTGGAATTTATTTTCTCTTCCGCTGTCCCACTCACTTTTCAGCTGCACCTCATGTTAATAGTCCATACAGGTGGGGAAAATGATTTATTACTGTAATGTCATGCACTGTTGGGAAGTCAATAATGATAATGTGAACATAAATAACTCTCCTGTAGGTAAGTTTAAATGAATGAATGAATAAAACAAATTTGTGTGAATGCAGCTTGTTTTTTCATATCTGCTTGCTGAGTGGTTGGGAAATCTGAACATTATTATCACTGTACGAGGGACCCAAGGTGGATTTATTGCTACAGAGGCTATTGGTTGTGACAGACTCAAACCATTGTTTCAAAGATACATTTTCCTTGTCACTCTGATGTTGTTAGGAGAGATAGTGGAGAGTTTATGAGCAGGAAACATGCACTCTTTTGCATTCTACACACGTTTAGTCAAAAAAAAAAAGAAAAGGTTTTTAATAAGCTCATAGTGATTAATGACGTCTCTTCTGCCTCAGATAGTGTGCACTAGCAAGAGTTGTGTTCCCAGCAACTCCTAACAGTTTAGGACTCCTCCGGAGCTCTCTTAAATGTTGGCCAAGATAGGAGTGACTTCCTAAGTTAAGAAAGCTGATAAAATACTTCTATTCCTAATCCTAAAAGTAGGACAACATTTGTGTCACTCTGAAGTTTTGGCCAGTCTGGACTGATTTCCAATTTAAGACACTTGATAAATATGGGCCCTGATCTGCTCTTGTATCACTGTAACCCACTGCAGCACACGCCTAAGATACATTTAGCATCACAGTAGTTTAATGTACATTTCCATAATAATAATAATAATAATAATAATAATAATAATACTTTTGTCTATATAATAATACTATAATAATTATGTTGTAGCATTTCGAGGAAAAGCAGTAATAAGTTGTAACTACTTAACAGAGGGCTTTTGAAAAGTTAAAATAATGGGCTTAATCTTACAAAATGAAATAAAAAGTGTAGCTTGACTTTCCATTTTTTGTTCTTTATGTTGAAAACTGCAACAGTTGACCAACAGTGTTTTTATAGTAAACAATCCCAACATGACAACTGAACAGCTTGAACACATCCTTTTTCTTTCCCTCTTTTATCCCACTTTCCCCACTTATTTCTCCCATGTCGTCTCACACCGTGTGTGGGTCTGGCTGACTGATTCAAGTCTCACACTACCTCTGATGCATGTGCACAATTTTTGAGCCCCCTTAGCACGTGTGCCAACTTACATGAGTTTTAGAGCATCCCAAGCCCCTCAAAAATGCATTTACCAACAGAGTAATAATAATCTCTACAAAAACAATAACTCCGCCCCTTGGTTCTCGATGCTCGATGCTAATATATGCTTAATCAGGACAACAGGTGATCATGGAGGAAGTATTGAGTTTACATCAGCAGCAAATTAAAACAGGAGCAGATCAGAAAACAGGAAAAAAGTTTGAAATTATGAATAAAGACCTATTTAATATTTAAATGGTAAAATTAAGAGTGAAGGGTACTATTTGAACTTTTGCTGCATTAACATAAGAAACGCGAGGGTAGATATCTAGATTTACATCAAAAGGAGGATGTCACTCAACACGACTTAGGACCAGATTAACTGTGAAAATGGCAGTGAAGAAGAAGAGCTCATAACACAGTTCAGTGGTGAGGCGAGATCACTAAGCTAAGAAAACAAATGATAACTGTGAGGGAGCAGCAGGCTTCCCCTCACCAAGCAGGTGCACAGCTCCTACTCACACAGTTTGTTGATTGATGCGTCAGATTAGATGAATTTTCAGGATGTTTTTGTTTGACATGTTTTCTAGTCTGTTTCTGTTCACTCTCTGAGGCGATTTTCCTGGGATCAGCACTGTCATTGAGGCGCGGCCATCAGAGTGTTGTTGACAAGGGCCTGGTGTGTTTAGTCAGCCTTGTTGGGACAAACCAAATGGACAGAGGAGAGGGGGGATGTTGGAAAGGCGTGGGTTATGTTTGGTTTGGGGTGTAAATATTTATGTTTTTTTTTTTTTTTTTGAGAACTGTGTAAAGGTAAAGATTAGCTACAGTACATGTGTAGACTAGATGTTAGTTTGTTTTTGGTCCTGGTTATGGGTAGATGGGGAATCTATGTCGCTCTCCAAAGCTGGAAATATACGGTCCAATCCCAGTGTCCTCCCTCAGAGACTCACAGACTTTGAGGCTCGTTCCCAGTAAGTCCATGACGGCTTAGTTCTGTCCCACTGTCAAACCATCCAGAGCACGAGGGCTCTCTAAAGACATTTGAGCCCTTTCTGGACACTTTCCATAAGTCTGCATTTCTGCAGACTTTGCCTGAGGGAATTACCCAAAGTTCATAGCGTTGTGACATTAAACACAGGGTTACCATAGTTACCAAGGGTTGCCCGGAAGTGTAAAAAAAACAATAAAGAAAAGGCCATAAAACAGAAGAAATAATAAGATAGAAAAACAGTTAACACACAAGCATGAAGGGAACGAACCCTAATGTTAGCATTACAAGAAAAGAGTGATGACAGTATAAACACAGAGCTCACTGTGATTCAGAGTAGTGTGTAGTGTCTGTCCGATATGGCATGATGATAAATTCCAAATCTGCTTTCATCAGATCTGATCCAGTGTTCTTATTTTGTTTTCAAATAGGGAGTGAAGGAAGGGAATGAAAAATCACAACATCAATTGTGTGCAACATGTTTTGGCATCGTTAAGGTAACATGCTATGTCATATAGTGCTGCCCCTTTCCTCTTTATTCCGTTTGAGTCGCTGCAGCGTCTCGCAGTCGATCACTGACCAGGTGACGAGAGTTTAGTCTGTGAAGGTTCAGGGCTGAGGCCTTAGAGGTGACATTGGGATTGAGCCTAGCTTTGTGTAAAGTCAGTGAAAGACAGAGCTCTGCCAACATGTGAATGCTGTGTTTCTTCCTGGTGGTCGTGTATCTCAGTAGTTGCTGCCATCCTCAGTTAAGTAAGGGGCCATTCTCCCATCCAGACTTTACAATAATGTAGTGATCTTGATTCCAAAATATTTACTTTGGCTGAGGTTCAACACTACCTGAAAAACCCTGAGGCTCTTATCAGAATGTTAATAATAAAATTATGACATAATGTTTAGCATATGTCAAATTATGAGCACAGAACATGTTCATGGGAAAGGAGATGAAGCTAGATATCTATTGACACAAATCAAATATGTATAAAATGTACACAAGTCATCACAAGAGAGAGACAGAGTTGGAGCAGCAGGTCCGCTGGAGAATGTGCAGATGGTGTTGTTATAGATGTTAATACTGCGATAAATGCAGTCAAACACACACTTTACTGTAGTAGCAGCCTTTAATGAGCTACAGTTCATTGACAGTAATGTTTAAATTCACATTTGATGAACACACTTCCGGACCTCGGTGAATCAATCTGAAAACACAAACATCCTCTGTTTGCATGTCTTCTGATTATTTGTGCTGTTCTTCCATAAATGCATGAGGAGAGATTCATCTTCTAAACACACAAACACAAACTACAACTCCAGCAAATTCAGCATGAAGGGGACATGAATGTCTGTAACTAATTACTTTGCAACCCATTCAATAGTTGTATTTCACTTTAAACCACATGATCATTAGCACTTGGGAATATTTTTGACCTGCAGCACCAGAGCTCTGTTTTCTACCTTGTACCAGTGGCTCTGGCAATTTGGCATGCAGGGGTTAGAATCATCAACTTATCTGCAGACTTCAAATACACAGTCACATCTTGGACGAGGGTTTTCCAGACCTTCATTACTGATGACTCTGTCTGCTCTCATTATCCAGGAGGTCTGGACCTGATCTTGATGCCAGGCCTAGGTTTTGACAAAATGGGGAAGCGTCTGGGACGAGGGAAGGGCTACTATGACACGTACTTGGAGCGCTGCATCAGACACCCTAAAGGAAAGCCCTACACCATCGCCTTGGCCTTCAAAGAACAGCTGTGTCAGGAAATCCCTGTCGATGACAACGATGTGCTCATTGATGAAATCCTGTATGAGGATGATGACTAGCGAGTCAATCACCAGTGGTCAATGTTTAATTGTGCACTCTCATTTAATACAGATACACACTTTTTTCACTGCAGACATTTTGATTTGTTATGGCAGGAAGAGCTGAGGTGGAACTAATGAGACCAAGGATGGGCCTCTGGAATCTCCTATAGCAATACAGCCATCGTTAATGTTATTATTTCCACCTATGGTTTTCCTGCCATGACTCAAAATATCGTCTGTTGTGGTATCATACAGGTTAAGCTGCTAATTCAATGGCTGTATTGATAATGTGTGTTTAAGGTACTGAAACCTGATGCTTTCTGTCAGTATTCTGCTCCTAATATCAAGCTGCTGCTGTTGCTGTCAAGAGCTATGAACAGGCAGGTTTTACTGAACACTAAATACTTCAAATGGAGAATTCAAATATTAATGGACAATTAAATTAAAAGAAGTGCAAATAAAGTTGGCCTGTATGTGTTTCAACATAGGCTGATGGACCCTCATTGCCTTTACATTCACGTTGTTGAAGATCCTTCCACCTCATTGTGACTGACAGCATGCCACAGTGAAGCTCTTGCCCCGTTTTTGTAAGAAGATTGGCAACTATTTAGCATCACTGCTGGAGCACAGAGGAGACTGACTGCGTTATTACTAGTTGGCATATTGAAGCTGTATGAAAGTTTAATTAGTCAAGTAATGCATGCAGATTCAATTGCCCATTTTGCCCTTTAAACTCTGTCTCACCCTTACTCTTTCCAATCTAGTAATGAGACACACAGATGGTGAGAGAGTGACCTAGGCTGCGGTCGAAAAGTATTTTTTTCTTAGGAAGGTTCAGACTGAGTGAAATGAACTGAAGTATCAGAGCTGCTCCACTTCTCTACATGATAAGGAAAGGAGTTTCAATGCTTCCTATCTCATCTCCTTTAGCCTAGGAAACACTGGAGCTTCCTTTACAAAAGGAAAGGAGAAATGCCGTCCCACAATTCCTTGCTGCAGCAACAATTTAAGTGATGCATCATTGTAGTTTCACCTTGGCAGAGCCAAGTAAATGTAGAAACAACAGAGAAACTGTTTTATATTTGAGACTCGATCCAAAACTGATGGAAATACTCGTCTGATTCACTGAAGCCCAAATCCACAAATATGAATTCTTCTCTTTGAATCCAGTCAGGAGTCATCATGAAGAACAAGCAGATTGAATTTATAGTCAACAATATCATCATCATAAAAACATATTATAGCCTGTACATAAATGTTGTCTCACTAAATCCCCTCTCATTGCGTAAAGACCTAAAAATTAATTTTATCTACTTAACAAATGTCAAAAGCTTCTATGCCAGAAAACTATATACAATTATGTCTGAATATAATTTATTCTGATCTCTTGCTCAGTTCATTATTTCTATTTAATTACTATTTTAATGGCTCAACTTTCTCTTTTTATTTCTGTCATGTCATTTTATAATTATTTCAACATTTCAGTTGTTTGTTTGTTTCTGTGGTTAGGAACGGAGGATTTATCATCGTCCATTTGTTATAAATGAAGTTGGTTAAAGAAAAGAAGCTTAGTGTAAGTGCAGTTGTGTTTTCTCTGCATTGTGTTTGTCTTTTCCAAACTCCTCATGAAAGTCCTTCACATCTTGGTGTGAAGTGGTTAGGAAAGGAGATTATTTTGACTTTTTGATCTCAGCCCTGGACTTTTCTGAGTGTATGTGAGCTGCACACTTGGGGGGGCTGTTTGTCAAAGGGGTCAAAGAAAAGCACAACTTGTCAGTGGAAGGAACATTTGTTGTTATTGAGGTCAAGATCCACAACATATACATTTACAATAACTGCCTGTCGACCACCTCTCATTACATGACTGTTTCATCAGACCAGCTTATTGATTTTCTTGTGCCTTTTACTGAAATACTGAAGTCCCCCTACAATCAAAATTATAGTTTTGCTTGTTGTTACATCATTTGGATGCTTGTCCTTCTCTGTGCAGACTGATGGATGTGTGACCGGAGTCATGGTCCAGAATGCAACTTGGACAAATGTGATGTGAAAAACATGCAGATTTGAAACGTTAATTTGTTGTGAAAAGGTTTGTAGCATGATGCAGGAGGTCAGGTTACCATACAACATACAACTGTTGCCTGGCATAATATGTTTTATCTTTAAAAAGAAAAAAAAAAAGTCATGCTGATTTTCATGTCTTTTGATGTTGGCAACCAGCACCAACAGTCACTGCAAATTCATAATATCAAATCATACCATAAATACTAAAATACCATGGTGAATTGCTATGCACACTTGCTTCCTACTGGATCAATCCTTTCCATTTTAGACAGTTTTGTGTTTTTAGTTTTACAGTTACAGTTACAACAACATCCCCACTTCAAAATGTAATTTCACTAATACATGACAGTTATCTCATTGGGACCTTCCCCTTTTTATAATTGAGTTTTATAATAATAAAGAGTATAATTTTTATTTTTGTATATCTGCATTGTGTGGTTATTCTATGGTTCTGGCTCAGTGGCAGTGCTTTCTTGCCACACCTGTAAAAAAAACCCACTTTCCCATTCAACTGAACGGGAAATTGGAAATAAGTAAAATCAGTATAATGACAACTTGTAGTATTATAATAACCTGGAATTAAAGCCTGCTTAGAAGCATCCCCATTAATTATTATTTAATCTGGTTTTGCCTTTACAGTAATTTTTCTGTATGCATGAATTCAAATAATTAATATGCAGTTAATTTAAGACAGCTTCATACATGATAGAGCATGAATACAATCTACATTCATAAATATGAATCAATACAGTGAAACAATCTTTTTGAAATTTTATTTAAATTTTTATCAACACTGTCAAAAAGGATCAGTAGGCCTATTAAATGTAAGAGATGCAGGTCTGCCTGAGGGCAGGTGGACCTCAAGAAACAGGGCTCTTAATGCACCTTTTTGTCCCCAGTGGGGGTCCTGGTCCTGGAGATTTGGACACCTAGATGCCAGTCTGATTCTATCTCCATGGTGCAGCTTGCAGACTTGATCACAGCACTGGAACACCTACTTTTCCAAACTTCGGAGACAAAGTTAGTCTGCTTTAAGAAAACAAAGAATATTTTCAATTTTCCATCATATATACTAGAATAACATGTTTAGTTTTGTCAAGTCAATTCACAAGAAATCCTTGACACCACTTTTTCATTTCTACTATGAAGTGATAAATATCTATTTGCATTTGTTAGTGTTAGAGTTATAGTAACAGCACAGAGGGCAGAGCTATAGAAATCAAGAGAGAACATGGTCCAGATATAACAGCTGTTTCCACTCATTTTAAAGTGGAGTGGAGAAAGTTTTGTCTTTTTATGTTTAGAATAATCCTTTTACCAATGGAGAGTCTAATACAAACCATGTGGAAGTTTGCAATGGTATTATGGTATCAGAACTGCAGCTTCTGCAGTTGCACAAACAAAACTGACTCCACTGACTCCAGTATGTTTTTGTGGTGGACTGCATGGTGAGACTGTTACCCATGGGGGGCGCTCGCCACCAGCCATCATCCACGTCCTGATAGGCGCAATGTCTGGGTCGGCTTCCTGGGCCTGTTGAAGCCCAGCCGCAGAACAGCTCCATTTCGTTGGTCTTAGTCAAGTAAAGTCAAGTAAATTCTCTCTGGGGGCTTTAAGTTGTCGGTGTCACTGTCAGCAGGTGAAACTTGATATACCCCCACTGGTTTCACTGTTGCGGGCATGGAGCGTCCCTCTATCCCCACTGGACTTAGCATCACCTGACTGATGCCAGAGTCCAACTCACACTGCACTGCCTGATGACTGAGGTTCACTGGATGGAGGGAAGGGTCTGGCAGCTTGCATTGACAGGACTGGCGGCAGGGTCTCCTGGAGAGGCTGTCCGCATTGCCGTGCAACTGGCCGGGGCGATGGATGATCTCAAAGTTGTACTCACCGAGTCTCTCGAGCCACCTGGCGAACTGCTCCTCAGGCTCCTTCATTTTTGTTAACCACCGAAGGCTGCTGTGGTTATTGCAAACAGTGAAGGGCCGCCCCAGGAGGTACTGCTGGAAGTATGACGTGAAATCCACCACGGCTAGCAGCTCTCATGCGTGGTGCAGTAGTTCTGTTCCGTTTTGGACAATTTACAACTCCCATAGGCCAGCACACACTCCTGACCCTGCTGAACTTGTGAGAGGACGGCGCCGATGCCAACATCACTTGCATCAGTGTCGAGAATCATGGTGCCTTGGTCAAGTGGATAACCCAGGACTGGTGCAATGGTTAGCAGGTGCTTGAGTTCATTGAACACCATCTGGAATTCCTCAGTCCACTGAATCCGGGCATGCTTCTTTGTCAGGGCATGGAGGGGCTCGGCTATGGAGGCAAAGTCTCTCACAAACCGCCGATAGTATGATGCAAGGCCAATGAATCGGCGGACCTGAGACAATGTGACCCAGGTAGGCAACTTGGCGGTGGAAGAGGAAGCATTTAGTAGGTTTTAGTTTCAGGTTGGCCCGGTGGAGCCTGTTGAAAACCTGGCCCAGCCTGCCCAGCATCTCCGACACATCCCTACCCAACACTATGATGTCATCCAGGTAAACCAGGCGGGTCTCCCACTGCATGCCAGCCAAGACGCGGTCCATCAGTCTCTGGAATGTCGCAGGAGCATTGCACAGTCCGAACGGCATGACAGTCCACTCAAACAGTCCAGTCCTGGTGGAAAAGGCTGCTGCTTTGCGTGCTCTGGGCATCAGTTCAACTTGACAGTAGCCGGAAGCGAGGTCTAGTGTGCTGAACCACTTGGCAGTAGACAGGGTGTCCAGCGTGTCTTGGATGCGGGGCAGCGGGTATGTGTCTTTAATGGTGCAGTCATTCAGGGCCCTATAGTCTATGCAGAGGCGGTACGTCCTGTCCTTTTTACGTACCATCACTATAGGCGATGTCCAGCTGCGGTGGCTGCTGTAGGCCAGCCCCGCCTCCAAACTTTGTTGTATCTGTTGGTCAGCATTCTGTTGTTTCTCCCATTCCATCCGGCGTGGTGGCTGCTTGACTGGGGCACCTGGCCGGGTTATGATATCATGCTGCACCAAGCTGGTGCGGCCAAGGTCGTCGGGACCGGTGGAGAACACTGCCATAGGTACACGGCAGCTGATCCAGCTGGAGCTGTTCATCTACTGTAAGCTCAGTGGAACTCTAGGCATAGAGCTCCTGCAGGTGCTGGGGAACAATGGGGGAGCTGCTGATGGTCTGTTCAGGCTGGGCTGTGGCTTCTACGGGCTGCAGGACTTTGGCAGGATGGAGGAACCCTGCAATGGCCCTTTTGATGGTTACGGCAGTGTTTCCAGGATTGAATATGCGGAGAAGCATAGCTTTACGGGGCAGGGCTTCCACCACGACCTGGGCAACTAGTACTTTGTGTTTTTCTACAAAGCCTTTGTCGGGGCTCAGCATCACCTCCCCTTTAACTGGCTCTCTGAAGTGGGTGTTGCATTGTACCACATATTCTTCCCCGGCCTCCAGCACCACAGTCCGGGCCACTCTCACTGCATGTGCCTTAGGTTTGCTTTGTGACTGGAAATATGGCACTTCCTCTCCAAACAGCACAATGCGGTGGTTTCCAAAATCAAGGCTTGCATGAGCTTGGATCAGCAACGGGTGGCCTTTGAGAGCCTCATCACTTACTATATCAGCAACCAGGAAATGCACGCTCACCTGCCGGTTGTTGATCTGTACAGGAATGTGAGCTTCACGAGGACAGGTATGTCCCCGAGTCAGACACCTAGCAGAATCTTTACAATCGATAGTTGAAGAGGGGGGCGGACATCTGGGTGAATCGTATTATAGTGGTGTAGAGGTAGTATACTTTTCCGTGCCCCACTGTCCAGGACAGCACACACCTCCAGTTCATGCACCAGCATGTGAATTTCCTGACCTCGGGCTTTAAGGTGAAGCACAGCAGGTTCTGGGCTGTCAGGGGAGACTGCTGAAGCTCAGGCGTTGATGGTTTTCTTTGGTGAGGGGCAGTTTCTCCTCATGTGAAGGCCTGAACAGTTATGATGGTGTACCTCCTCCATTTAATGTCTTTATGCCCCCTCCATTTACATGGTGTGTGATTGGAGCCATGAGGCTGAGGATTCCAGCTGGCTACTGGGGGTGCTGCACCAGTCTCTGGTTCCTCCAGCTCGGCTCCCTCCCTGATAACAGCAGCTCAGGGCCTCCGTTCAGTCATGCTGTGCGTCCCTGTGCGCATGAGGCTGGTGGCGTATGACGCTGCCCGCTTGGTGGTTTCATGATGGCGGGCGATGTCATAGGCTTGGGCTAGTGTGTGGGGCCACTGTTCCAGCAGTTTCTGTACAATTTCTGCATCACCCACAGCATTAGTGAAAACTTCAACGCCTATGGCTTCCTGCTCAGTCTCAGTCCTGTCA